CACAGATGATCTTCTTCTATAGAAGACCAGCACAGATGATCTTCTTCTATAGAAGACCAGCCGCTGATGTTATCTTATAGAAGACCAGCCGGTGGTCTTCTCCTATAGAAGACCAGCCGGTGGTCTTCTCCTATAGAAGACCAACCGGTGGTCTTCTCCTATAGAAGACCAGCCGGTGGCCTTTTCCTATAGAAGACCAGCCGGTGGCCTTTTCCTATAGAAGAGCTGCGGATAGTCCTCTCCTATAGAAGACCATCGGGATGGTCTTTTTCCTTAGAAGACCATCGGTTTGGCCTTCTTATATAGAGCATCATTTTGTGCCCCTCCTCCTCTTCTGTAGAAGACCATTGGGATGGTCTTCTTCTGTAGAAGACCATCGGGATGGTCTTCTTCTGTAGAAGACCATCGGGATGGTCTTCTTCTGTAGAAGACCATCGGGATGGTAGCCGGTGGCCTTTTCCTATAGAAGAGCAGCGGATGGTCCTCTCCTATAGAAGACCATCGGGATGGTCTTTTTCCTTAGAAGACCATCGGTTTGGCCTTCTTATATAGAGCATCATTTTGTGCCCCTCCTCCTCATTTCCTCTTTTTTAACATCCTTAAAATTTTCCACAACCCATTCTACTGTTCTCAACTAACTCTGCCCTGGCACAAGAATATAAATTCATGTGAAACCGACCGACCGACCGACCGACCACCGGTAACCAAACATCCGCCACCATTACTACCACCACCACCACCACCGTGTATAACCATGAATTTACACCGGCCGTTAGCTAATGCTTTACGGCATGGCTGAATGAATGAATGATTTCCGGAATTTTGTAGAACACAAACCAAACAAACAAAAACCAACCAAAAAAAAAAAAAAATGTTGTTAATGTTTTCCTCTGTTTTGCCCCGGCAAGGACATTATAAAATCTCTAATTACTTTTATGTGGGCCATTATTAAGGGGACTTAGATTTTAAGGGCCCAAGTTGTCAACACACTTCCGGTTAAGAGGAAGAAATTAAACTTAATACTAGAGAATTCCGTAGAAATGAAGGAAACACGTGACAAATCCTGATGACAGTTATTGAAGTATATGTGCGTGTGTGTGTAAGTGAATTGTGGGGGTGGGGGTATTTGCCGTTTGCCTCATTCGGTGATTTTATAACCTAAGGGCATTAAATAAAGAAAATATTTTAAGTAAATAATTTTTTTTCGTTTTTATAGTACGAAATTGGTCATAAGAAGCTTAGAAGATAATTTTCTTGTAAAATGGACCGTAAACTTTGCCCCGGGAATATGATTACATTATTTGGAATGAGTTTATTACACCTTTTTGTAATAAAAATACTTTAGAATATTAAATCTGTCCAAAGGATGAGAGGATTTTTTCAATGGAAATTTTAAAGGAGTGTTAGGAAAACTTCGTCTCTAAGGTGATGTAGAAAATCGCGACTCCCTTTGGGATGAATGTCCGAAAAGGATAATTATGAGATTTTTATTGGGGCATTTAATAATCTTGATATTTTACTGCATAATACTCTACCAAATATTTCGATTCATTGCTTAAAATGACCAAAGCAACTATTCCAGAACCTGGAAGTATCGTCTTACTTTATTTTTCGGCATCATAAGGGAATAAGTTAAAAAGCAGTAATTTCGGCCGGGCCGAACTTTAAATAGCCCCACCATTTGTAAAGAATTTGGAAATTTTTCAAAAATTATTTTAAAATCTTAAAAATGCCGAATATAGGGAGTTATCGTTACTTTGGGGTCTAAAGGAAGACGTGGACTCGCATAGGCAATTTTCTGTCAAAGGCTGTAGTACCCATTTCAAAATGCAAATACGAAATTTGAAACAATTCCGGAAAATAACCAATCAATAATCAACAAAATACCGATTATAGGGAGGTGCTGATATCTGGGGTCTATAGGAAGACCTGGACCCGCATAGATAATTTTCTGTCATTGGCTGTAGTACCCATCACAAATTCTAAATACGAAATTTGAAACAACTCCGTTGAATAATGTCTCTAAATTCGTCAAAATATCGAATGTCGGGGAGTACCGTTGTATGTGGGCTATACGATATCGTGGACCTATATAGATATATCTTTTCCAGGGGTAAAGTGTTTAAAGAGAACTTCTTTTATGGATTTTTCAGACTATTCTATTGAAACAATTTAGCTAAAATCATCAAAAGACGGAATATAGGGAGGTGCCTTTATTTGGGGGCGAAATCTTGGACCTATATAGACAATACTCTTCCAGAGGGTAAAGTATTCAGATGGAAATCCTTTTTACAATCGTCAAAATACCGAATATCGGGGGTACCGTTATGACCCCATATATATACGATATCATAGACCGATATAGCCCATATCAAACTTGAGCTGCCTGCAGACAAAAGACTGATCTGTGCACAATTTTAGCTTCCTATCTTTAATCGTTTTGACTCTAGCGTGATTACAACAGACGGAGAGACGGTCGGGCGGATAGGGCTATATACTTTGTTGGGTCTAAAATAATTATTTCGATGAGTTACAAACGGAATATACCCTCCATACTATTTATGGTAGGGGTATAAAAAAACGGTGATTATTGTTTATACGCTGTTACCCTGAGTATACGTGTCTGAACCGAGAACTGAACGGCTCTCCATCTGGCTATCGGCGTAACTCCGTCGTGAAGTACGGTATTTGGACTGCAAATACCTTCAATGAACTCTATATAGGTCCCGTCGAGCGACTTTTCTCAATTAATTTCTGTCAGCGACTTTGATGGAGATCATCCATGTACATGTGTCTGGGTTCTCAGACTGGATGTCGGGATGACAATTGGTCGTTTTCTCATTTCCCTCAATATTACAATGATCAGGTACCCAGCAAAGTCGGAGAGTCGTCTGCAGCGTTCTACACCTCAGCAATGCATCTGAACTGATTATAGAAGAGTCAATTAGCTATCCGCCTCCCGCGCCTTCTTCCATCTTTGATCCGTCTGTATATATTGGTAAAACGAGTGGAGGTACGTTAGCTCCGTTTCACGCCTCTGTTTAGAATCACTATCCTATTTCGTCCAACCTCATAATTGTATTTGAATTTACTTCAGCTCATACACCCCGAGCCCTTTAAGGATTATAGCGGAATAAACCGCAACGTATTTGTTCCAGTTGACATCCCAAAACGGTAGCCAGACATTTGGCTTCAGAATAGAGTTATAAAGTCACTCCATTCAGTACCGAAGAAATGAATTGATCCGGCTTGCGCAGACTTGTGAACAGAGCCAACTTTGCCTTTGTTGGTTTGACCCCTAAATGCTACTTCTCTTCCACCGTGACAGCTTTGTAAGTGCACACTGCATTAGCTGTAATATACAGTGGACAAGAATTTTCCCCTGATCAGCATAAACAAGAACTTCCATAACTGATTTTCCGCAGTCCCGTAGAATCCTGTTAACAACGAGAAACCACAGCAGCAGCGAATTCCTCCCTGCGGTCTTCCTTTGGTTTCTGATTTCCGAATGAAATTAATGATTCTGCTCCTAAGCATTGCATCAATCCAGGTTATAAGCGTATCATAAATCTTAACGTTAGCTAACCACGCCATTTTTAAAAAAGAGTCAAATACCTCATGAGGTCCTCAAGGGAGTCGTTTAGGGTTAGGTAAGAAAGAACCTATGGTTATTGTTTATCTAGGTTACATCAGCGTATTCTTGGAATATAATTTAAATGGGCTTACCCCAAGTATTCGTGGATGGACAGAGACCTGACTGGTTCTCTGGCTGGATGTCGGTATGTGAACAGGGTAGCGATAAAATACCTCCCTGCAGTGTTCCCTGATTTCTGATTTCCGAATGAAATTAATGATCTGTTGTTATGCATTGCATCAATCCAGGTTATAAGGGTATGAATCTTAAGGTAAGAAATTAGGTATTCATTTGAGTTCTACCTTGTTGAAGGCGCCCCGGAGTCAAGAAAATCCGCCAGTGTATAGTTCTTCTTCTATATGTTTTTTCAATGTAACTGACAATCTCATGAGGACTTTGTTATGTAGGCGTGAGTTACTCGCAAGTGAGTAGCCTACATCCGTTCTTATATCAAGGTCAATCAGCCTTTCAAGAGTCTTTAAAAGAAAGTATTTCGGTACGGTCACTGTAACCTCTTTCCATAGAATAGCTATATGTGAGTGATACAAAAAAAACTTAAAGATCGTTTTCAGGATATCGTATACAAGTGGCGTTAAATTCTGCTACATCGCTGGTAAAACACCATGTGGTTCCAAGTGGGATGAAATTGCTCCAACGGCAACCCGTTCCGATATCTTTACAGTTTGGGAAATGAGTTATCGCCAGAGAGTCAAGACTAGATTCTGTCCATACGTCATTTAATTTCTTGATGCTGCCAATTGGCTTGGAATGCTTTGGCAGTACCTTGCGAAACTTGGCTGCTTCGTTGACTCACAGAAATTCACCCACGAATTCTTCTTGGCACATTTAATCTCTCCTTTGTCGTCCCAATCCGTTGTAAGGTTTTTTTTTCTAAGCTCGTTGATCTCTTACTCCACTGCACAGGTTTCGACTTTTTGTCGGGAAAATTACCAGGGCAAGAGTCCCTATAGCAGCCAAAGAGGGTGCTTATTAGATTACTAACGGCTATATCAACTTCATCGATATAGCTTAGCTTTGAGGGTAAGCGTAATCGGGATGTCGCAAGGCTTTCGAACCTCTCCAGTCAGTCTTTCTTGGATTCCTATAGGGTTTCTGAATAATCACTGCAAAAGAGAGTTTTGGAAATATATCTTCTTATGGTCCAAAAAGAAATTATTAAATTCAAATAAACTTTTTATTCAATATAAACTAGCTATTTTTCAAACCCACCACAAATTTCCAAATTTTAAATTTGGTACCGAAATTTAAAAATGCAACCATCTAAAATATATCTTTAAATCAATTCAATTTCTTCCGCACAATATTATTTTAATATTTCAATTCAATGTTTGTATTTTCCTCCCAGATACCATCATTGGCATACGTTCCAGTGGAAATCCCCTGAATATGTGTCCCACTGCAACATCATATCACCATCAGGCTGGACATCATAATACGCAAATGTTGCCATCCGGTGCCACTATCGTATCCATAAGTGGTCTGGCGAATAAAGTACAAGCGACATCGCAGTCACAGCCACCACTACCACCACCACTCTCCTCCTCCTCGTCCATTGTGGCCATGGCAATGCCATCAGCTCTGCAATCCTGCAATAGTTATACAATGCCAACAGGGCCACAGCCAACAACTGCAACAACAGCGGCAACAATGGTCACCACAACATCGGTAACAACACAAACACCAAAAACTCAAAAACGTGTAACCATTATGGAACCGACGACACACACATTCGATCCACTGTTGCCAACAATGGTGGCCGTTATGCAGGGTACCACCAATGCAACGACGGCGACGGCGGTCGCGTCAACGAATTCTGGACAACACCAACAGCAGCCGCAGCAGCAGTCGGGTCAGCAATCAAATAGTGGCATACCTAAAATTAATACAAACAATAGCGGTAATGTAAACAGTGAGGAGGGCAACAAAGCGAATAGTGCTGGTGGTGGTGTTGGTGAAGTTGAGGATACCTCAGCCATGCTGGACCGCATTAGTCACGATTTGAATTATTTACTCAATGGAGCCGAAGATGATGATCAAATACCACCACCACCAAAACCACCAACGAGTTCCATACCCAATGAAACTTCGGCAAATGCTGAGGTGATATTTAGTAAAAAGGATATGCTGTAATGCATGTCGCACTAAGAAGATCCAACTAAAGAGGAATCAATGAAGAAAACAAAAAAGACGAAAAAACACAAAGACAGGGTTAGTTAGGTTTTGTAGAAATAAAAGAAAGATAAAAATTAAATTATTTTAAGTAAAAAACAACAGGTTGTTAAGTGTAAATGGAGAAGGATAATATGTATATGTAGGTATAATACAGTGAAACCTCTCACAGGGACAATTTTGATATTTTGAGAAATAATATTTGTCAAAGAAGAAAGAAATCAAGGCAACCGAAATAATTGAAAGCTATTTGTATATATTAACATGCCTACGAGTCCTTGGAGGGTCCACTGTAATTTTGAATTAAATTATAAAAATTAACTTAAATTATGAAATATTAAAAATATTAAAACATCACTACATAATAACTTACACTACATGATCACTACATAGAGAAAAACTTAAATTATTTTTTTTTATTTTTAATAGATATCATTAAAAATTAAAAAAAAAATAATAATAATTTTGTATAGGTAAGTTAACATGTTACGGAACAGAAAACAATTCCTGGAGGCAGCTAAATATTTGTAAATATTTTTTTATAATTTTTCTTAAAATATATTACAACGAATCGCGATCTAGTTAAATTCTAAAAAAAGAAAGGATATTTTTTGCAGAACTCGCCATTGACCATTCCTCAAAGCAAGAAAAAAAACAAGTTATAGCCATTTTAAAGTTTTCATTAATCCGTGTTTAAACAATTAAAAAATATCGGTCGGTTTTGCCGACAGATATATACCCTCAGCCAATGTTCGATTATTTAAAAATATTTTGACTTCTGTTATGATTATTTAAATGTTTAAAACCTTATACCGAAGGAATTGGCCATTTCGTGTCGGACCTAAATAAATATGATATAAATATTGCGACGTGCTAGATTTGGACTGTGTTGTGTTAATGGACATTTTGGGATGTACCAAGCCTTCAATAGAATCGGATGTCAATTTCGCTTTTTATGAGCTTCATGGATATTCAAAATTTTGAGCCTTTGTGGGGGAGGTACCAGAAGCAGTGGACCGATATATCCCATCTTTACAACGGATCTTTTGTTAGTGGAAATAATGGGATGTGTGAATATAAAGAGAACCTGATGCTTATTTCGGATTTTATAAACGTTTTGGTTATTCAGAACTCTGACTCTTTGTGGGGGAGGTATAGTGAGGAATGGTCCGATCTCTATCGTTTTTTAACAGATGCTCTGTTGATAGAAATATTCAAATAATAGAAATATTCACGTTTTATCAGCTTAATGGATATTCAAAATTTCGACCTTTTGTGGGGGAGGTAAAACCAGATCTTGGATTTATAAAAATATTGGGATGTGTGCAATTTTAAGAATTTACATCACATTTTTTGAGAGTTGTGATTATTTAAAATTTTCACCATTTGTGGGGGAGGTACTTGATGAAGTGGACCGATATTGTCCATTTTCACATCTGACCCAGCACTGACGCAAATATTAGGATTTGCAAAATTGGAACAAAATCGGATTATAGTTTCTCTTTCTGTACAAACAATATATCTTTTGAAAATGTCGACCTTTTTTGGGGGAGGTACCAGAAGAAGTGGACCGATATTGCCTATCTTCGAACTCAATCTAAGTTTGACAAAAAATTTACGATGTACCAAGTTTGGACCAAATCGGATACTCCCTTCGAGAGTTATCGTGCGCACCAGCCAGCCAGACAGAGAGACAGGCGGACGGACGGATATCGCTAGATCGACTCCAAATATTCTGAAACGGATTTGGTCCAAAGAGACCTAGGGTCTAAAACCATTATTTCGACTAGGCACGTTTTGACCGTATCTGTAGCCATATGGCTGAAGGTATAAAAAGTGATCACAAATATAGCTAAAAACGGCGAAAACTCAATATTTAAGAAGTTATGTCCATTTTAAAGTTTTCATTAACTCGTGCCTAAAAAAGTGATCTCAAATAACAGCTAAAAACGCCGAAAACTTAATATTTAAGGAGTTATGGCCATTTTAAAGTTTTTTTTTTTTTTTTGGGCTACCCGTAACAAATAATCGTTTGTATTGGGAATATATATGAAGCAGATCATACCAACTATGAACGTTTTTATAACCTCCACCCTAGTATAAAGGTTACATTAAGTTTGCAACACCTCGAAATATACATTTTAGACCCCACAAAGTACTTATATTCTTGATCAGCATAAAATTCTATGTCAATTTGGCGATGTTCGCCCGTCTATCCGTCTGTGGAAATCACTCTAGCATCCGAACGAAATGAAGTAGATTGATAAAATTTTACTCAAATGTATATTATGTCTGCAGGACTTTTGGTATTGAAAATGGGCCATGTAGGACCACGTTTTGGTTTAGCCACCATATAACACTATTCATCGATTTTTTCGCACTTGATTATTGTAATGGTTTATGACAAAAGTGGCGTATGCAGGTCCACGTCGTCGTGTAGGCCCTAATATACGGCTACATTCGGTATTTTTAAGATTTAAAGAGAATTTTTTAATGGATTTTAATTTTTGAAAATTGCCTAATTAGTACCAAATGGTTGAGGGTATTCAAAGTTCGGCCCGGCCGAACTTACAGCTTTTTTATTTGTTTTTCTTAAAATATACTATGAGGAAACTCTATCAGGTTAAATTCTAAGTAAAAGAAAGCACATAATTATACCCTTTTATGGCCTTAGAGGTTATATATCATTTAATACGTCCAAAACCAGCCTATTCAAAATAATGGTTTTACACCCTAGGTCTCTTTGGACCAAATCCGTTTCAGGGCATATAGAGTCGATATAGCATTCACGGTAACTCTCAAAGGCAATATCCGTATGGTCAACATTTTCACAGAAAAGACTTTAGCCTATAGAACTAGAACGGATCATACAATTTTGAGCAAACTTTGCAAATCCTTATATTTTTATCAGTGCTAGGTCAGGTGGGAAAATAGACCATATCTGTCCTCTCCATTAAGTACCCCACAAAGGATCAAAATTTTGAATAATTATAACTACCTTAAAATATGAAATAATATTCCAATTGTCTTCAAATTTCTCAATATTTCCATAAACATAAGATCTGGTACTTCCTCCCCCAGGACGGGTCAAAGGTTTGAATAACCATGAAGCTCATAATATGCGAAAATAGCATCCGATTCCTTTTAAACTCGGCATATTCTAATATCTCTATCAACACAAAATCCGGTGGGAATATGGAATATATCCGACTACTGTTTCTGGTACCTCCCCCACAACGAATCAAAATTTTGAAAAATAATTGCACTCATAAATTGCGAAATAAGCATTTGTCCAATTTCTTCAAAATTCACTCATACCAAATATTTTTATTAAGACAAGACCTTGTGTGAGGATGGAAATTTTACCTTTTGGTACCTCCCCCACATAAATCGCTACTATTTTTCCTTGTTTTTTGTTCGGAATTTACCAAATAGCAAAGAGAACCAAAAATAAATGATTACATATTCTATTTCGGTACTTTTTATACCCTACGCCACATAGTGGTAAGGGTATTATGTCTTTGTGCATTTTTTTTTTTTTTGTAACAGGGAGAAGGAAGCGAGATAAACCCATAGTTGCTTTTGAGGATCTCCATAGAATCACTTTCTGAGTCGATTTATGCATGTCAGTCCGCCCGTCCGTCTGTACATGTATTTTGTGAACAAAATGCAGATCGTATTTATTATCCGATTGAGATGAAATTTTCCAAACAATATTTGTTTGGCACAAGGACGAAATTGACCCTATTGAAATTGGTAATAATCGGATCAGATTTAGATATAGCTCCCATTTATCTTCAACTGATTTCGGATTAATTGTACACCAAATGACCAATAAAAGTCCAAATATCCTGAATTTTGGCACATCCCACCGAATTCAGTGTAGAAGCAAGTGCATCATATTTGGTGAAAATCCGTTCCGATACAGCTATAGTTCCCATATATATGTTTCATTCGATTTGGTTTTAAAGTCTCTCACATGCGTAATAAGCACTTTACTGCAATGATAGTTGGTATCAGATATCAAATACAGCCCAGAAATACATCTGCCAAATTTTATGAAGATCGGTCCAGATTTGGATATAGCTCCCATACATATATTCAACCGATTTCGGGTTAATAGTGCACTAACTGGCCAATATCAGTCCAAAAGTACTGAGTTTTGATATATCCGACCGAATTCAGTCTAAAAGCTAATACATCGAATTCAAAGAAAATCGTTTCAGATATAGCTATAGCTTCCATTTATATGTTTCATCCGATTTGGGGTTTTAAGTCCCTTACATGCGTAATATACACTCCGAAGAATGATATTTGGTACAGGATATCATTTACTGCTCGAACTCTGTCAAATTTTATCGAGATCGGCTCAGATTTGGATATAGCTCCCATATATATCATCATCCAATATGAGCTTTATTGTGCACCAAATGTCCTAAATTTTGACACATCCGGGCGAATTCAGCCTAGAAGCAAGTACATCAAATTTGTTGAAAATTGGTTCAAATATAGCTATAGCTCCCATTTGTATGTTTCATCCGATTTGGTGTTAAAGTTCCTCAAAAGCGTAATATGCACTGCACAAGTATAACATTTGGTACCAGATATCAGATACAACCCAGAAACTCCTCAGCCAAATTTTATCAAGATCGGTTCAGATTTGGATATAGCTCTCATACATATATCCTTAATCCCAATTCAGGTTTATTGTGCAAATAGTGGTTAATATCAGCCCAAATGGTATGAATTTCGGGACGTAGATTTTCATTTTGTGGAACTCGGCTCCGATATATATTTTTTTTTAATATGACCTTCTTGAAATGATATCATTCACTCTATAGCAATGTTATTTGGTATAAAAATAAAATGTCTCCGTCAAATTTAGTGGAAATTGATTTAGAATTGGATATGCCTCCAATATATTAGTTCCCTCTAAAGCCAAACTGTAACTAATCTAAAGCCAAATGTTGATAGGTGATATGATCTACTTCAAAAAAAAATTATTTTGTTACGGGAGCTCTACTAAATATGCATAGTATTGTAGGGTATCATATAGCCGGCCCCGCCCGACTTTTGACTTTTCCTTACTGGTTTCAAATTTGAATAATTTTTCATAAAAAATTTTCAATTTGAAATAGGTTTGCCAGTTCATCAACCATGGAAGCCAAGAAAAATAAGTGTTGCGCCTAAGAATATGCACCGTTTTTTATAGATACTCAAGACGCAAACATTGTTGCAAATTGTTATTCATATATTCTAAGGTCACCTTAGACTAAGTGATTTTCTTTTACCACAGTAGAATATAAATATTTTTACAAAGTAATTTAAAAAATACAACTTTCACTTATGAAATGATTGGCCACATTGCGGTTAATATCTTTTCAATCTTTTATTTAGAGTTTAACTGATCGCAGTTTCAATTACTCCATAAACTAGGTAGATTTATAAGTGTAAATATTTGTGAACAAACAAATGTGTGTGTTATCAATCAAAAAGTTAATTCAAATCCAAATAAACAAAAAACAAAAAGATAATATTAAATATTATTAAAAACCAAAACAGCAGATGTAAATAATTTCTAGTTATAAATAAAACACTAAAGCAAACATAATCCAACAGAAGAATTTATTTTGTAAAACATAAAATGTATAGATTATAAAGAAGAAAATTGAATTTAATATAAATTAACAAAAACAAATAGAAAAACAAGAGCAACAACAAAATCATGTACATATTAAAATTATAAATCTTACTTCCAAAAACTAGTATAAATAATAGTCATATAGTTATTAAATAAATTAATAAAAAAACACTAAATTAAAATTCATTACCAAAAACAAAAACAATAATTATTTTAAATTGTAAATTATCAACAGGAAAAGAACTACTTGTAAACTATTCCAACATTAATAATTAAAATCATTAAAAACAAAGTTTAACATTTCTTTTTGAAATATGTATGTATTTTAAGGATAAAGGAAACTACTACATTATAAATTAAATCAAATGATAACAAAAAAACAAACAACTTAACTTAAAAAAAATATTAAACAAATAAAACTAATTTTCAACATCTTTGTTACAAAAAAAATATTATTTAAATGCATTTTTTATTTCTAACAACAAAATAGTATGGCAACTATGCAAAACAAAAAGGGTAAGTTTTTATCAAGGCACGCTACAGAGGTCCAAGAACAATTTATGAGGTCGTGCAGGAATTCAATCACAATAATAATTTTGACAGCTTTAGATACTTTTATAGATTCATTTCAATTGTGAATTAAACGAATGAAAACTTAAATCACAATAATTCTTTACACAACCTGTTAATTGGGCCTTGGATTGGCCCATGGTAGAAGAATACAGGTAGATGCATCAACGCTTAGGAACATTGATATGTCAAAAATTTTAAAATGTTTTTTTTTCATGGTAGAAGAATATAGGTAGACGCATCGAGACAGCTGCTGGGACAATGAACTGTCAATCCAATTTTGGAATTGAAAATATTGAATGAAAAATTATTTAATTTTTTTAAATTTGTTGAAAAACGCGTATTATTATAACCTCCGAATGACATCGTATAAGAAAACATATAAAAATCTACTTATATTTGAAAAAATATTCAAAATTTTTTGACATATCAATGTTCCCAAGCTTTGACGCATCTACCTGTATTGTTCTACCATGTGTGTTCTTCTACCAATGATCCATGTATCAATTTCTACCAACCAACTAATATGGCAACTTTGCAAACATAAAAAACTCAAAACTGGTACAAAAGCCGAAATTATTAAATACTTCACAATTTCGTATGATATTAAGATAAGGATAAACAAAATTTCCATTTTTAGTATCTAATGCCATGTTTACTTTAGAACTTTTTGTAGGGTTAACCTACTTTGAGAGGATTTATTTGAAGTAAAAGTAATGGGTATGACAATTTAAATCCAAATCAAGTGGGTTAACCCTCATATATATAAACGTACTATAATCCTAAATAACCTTTTAAAACTTGACCACATGTCCCATGAAATATGTGGCATCTCTGTTTCGTATGGCAAAGAAGAACGGATGATCGGCTCTAAAGAATTTCTGCCGCGTATCGATGCAGTTGCTGATGACAATGGGTTTGGAAGCTGAAAATAAAAGAGATAAAAAAAATAATGTTAATATTTAAGAATGAGAGGAAGAAAGAAACCTTTGAAGGAAGAATTACCGACGCTCAATATTCAAGCGGGCTTCAATAAAAACGTAGAATACAAGTTAAATCAGTAACGTTATATTGGGCCTATACTGAAAACGTGGACCTTAAGCCTAGGTAACCTCTTTTAAAAGGGACTTTACGTTTGCAAAGAGTTTTTCTAAGTTTTTAAAATAGTAAATACACAGAAACAATCCTAGTTTAGTAAAAACTCTTAGATTTTTTCGAATTTTTGACAGAGGTAGATATTTTTACTCTGATTCCGATCCAGACCCGGATCCACTTACCCGATATATACAATATAGGCATCTATCCAATGGACCCGTAAAAGGTATTGGCACAAATTGTAGCATGTTGGAAAAGTAAGAGTGTCAGCTATAATTTTGCATCGATTTTGATGATCCCCATAATGGACCCTTTTTCGACTCTTTGGGGGTTTTATAAAAAATCCTTCTTTATAACAGATCATGAGTTGATAGAAGAAAAGTCTGAATGGAATCGGATGTCAATTTCGAGTTTTAGGAGCTTCATGGTTTTTGAAAATGTTGACTCTTTGTGGGGAAGGTACCAGAAGGGGTGCGCTAGATATATCCCATCTTCACAGCACATCTTGTGTTAGTAGAAATAATGGGATGTGGAGAACCAGATACTTATTTCGGATTTTATAATCGTTTTGGTTATTCAAAACTTTCACCCTTTTTGGGGGTAGGTACCAAAAGGTAAAGGTAATATACCCTCCACCATACTATGGAGGGTATATTACCTTTGTCATTCCGTTTGTAACTCCTCGAAATACTCATGTCAGACCCAACAAAGTATATATATTCTTGATCAGCGTAAAATTCTAAGTCGATTTAGCGATGTCCGTCTGTCTGTCTGTCCGTCCGTCCGTCCGTCCGTCTGTCTGTCTGTCTGTCCGTCTGTCTGTCTGTCCGTCTGTCTGTTGTAATCACGCTATCTTTCGAATGAATTGAGATAGATGGCTAACATTTTGCACACATGTTTATTTTTCCAGAAGGCAGGTTAAGTTCGTACATGGGCAATGTAGGTCCACGTTTTCATATAGCCCCCATATAACGGTACCCCCCTATATTCGGTATTTTGATGATTTTAGCGACTTTATTCACCGGAATTGTTTCAAATTTGGTATTTGAAGTTCCAAATGGATAGAAAAATGTCTGTGCAAATCTATGTCTTCGTATAGCCCCCATATAACGGTACCTCCCGATATTCGGTATTTTGATGATTTTAGCGACATTATTCACCGGTATTGTTTCAAATTTGGTATTTGAAGTTCCAAATGGATACTACATCCTAAGACAGAAAATTGTCTTTGCAGGTCCACGTCTTCGTATAGCCCCCATATAACGGTACCTCCCTATATTCGGTGTTTTGATGATTTTAGCGACATTATTCACCGGTATTGTTTCAAAATTGGTATTTGAAGTTCGTTATGGGAACTACAGTCTGTGACAGAAAATTGTCGGTGCGGGTCCAGGTCTTCGTATAGGCCCCATATATCAGTGCCTCCCTATATTCGGTATTTTGACGATTTTAGGTACAATACCCACCGAAATTGTTTGAGATGTGGTATTTGAAGTTCGTATAGGATGCTACAGCCTGTGACAGAAAATTGTCCATGCTGGTCCAGGTCTTCGCACAGCTCCAATTTAACGGCACCTCCTTATATACGATATTTTGATGATTTTAGCTACATTATTCACCGTTTATTTCAAGTTTCGAATTTGAATATGGTAATGGCTTATGACAAACAATGCATATGTATGTCCACGTCGTATAGACACCAATATAACGGCTATATTCGGTATTTTTAAAATTTTAACAGAATTTTTTAATGATTTTATTTTTGAATATTTCCAAATTCGTTGCAATGGTGGAGGGTATTAAAAGTTCGACCCCGAACTTACTGCTTTTTATCTTGTTTTTGTTTGATAAGTGAGTTAAGTGTAATAGCTGTTCTAACTGGTACTAAGCTTGGTACAATTTGGGTTTAGGTGAACGGAGGGAGCTGGAATTTTGAAATGTTCGTATTACACTCAGCGCTGGTTGGTAGGGTTGAAATAAGTTAGAGGTTTTGCAAATGCGTACCACGAAAAGTACAAAATTTACTAAATTTGGTGTTGGATTAACGGATAGTGCTTAAAATCTAAAACCTGGCTTTAGTATTTGGAAAATGTAGTACAAAAAGTACAAAGGGTACTAAATGAAAATAAATGGTATTTGGGTAAGGGATAGAGTTGGAAATCTAAAATCTGGTATTGCGATGAATTCTTGCTATTGCGGGGTAAATTTGTGAATGTATTTTGGAAAAACCAAACCAATAAAAAAAAATCCAATGTCGGACAGGGCCGATTTATTTATTTGAAGTAGATCGTACCTCCTATCAACATTTGGCTTAAGGGCAGTTATAATTTGGTTTCAGAAGGAACTAATATATCGGAGGCATATCCAATTCTGAAGCGATTTTCACTAAGTTTGACGGAGATATTATTATCTTTTATACCAAATAACATTGCGAATGCCAAATTTCAGGTCATTTGGTCTAATATTGGCTATTTGGTGTACAATTAACCCGAAATCGGTTGAAGATATATATGGGAGCTATATCCAAATCTGAGCCGATCTTGATACAATTTGGTAGAGGTATTTCGAGGCTGTATCTGATATGTGGTACTAAATATCATTCTTGTGGAGTGCATATTACGAATGTGAGGGACTTAAAACCCCAAATCGAAATAAAAATATATATGGGGGCTATAGCTACATCTGAACCGATTTTAACTAAATTTACTTGTACATGCTTCTATGCTGAATTCCGTTGGAAGTGATTTGGACTGATATTGGTCATTTGGTGCACAGTTAACCCGAAGTCGCTTGAAGATATATTTGGGAGCAAAATTTGAATCGTTTCTCACAAATTTCAGTCGGGCTCGTTCTTGGGCCATACAAATATTGTTTGGAAAATTGCATCTCAATCGGAGAATAAATGCGATCTGCATTTTGTTCACAAGAATACATGGACAGACGAACTGACATGCAACTCAGAAAGTGATTCTATGAAGATCCTCATAAGTAAATATGGGTCTATTTCGCATGCTTCTCCATTTTACAAAAAAATGCACAATGATAAAATACCCTTTCCACTATGTGGTGTAGGATATAAAAAAATAAAAAGTACTAAAAAGGTACTAATTTTGAAGAGGGGATAGATTCACCCATAAAACGACGAAACGAAACGAATTCCTACGTTGACTGAGGTTAACATAAAGTGGTCAGAGTTCATTCTGAGCATATAATTTACACTTCGAGTATTGTTGTGTGGACCCAGACTTGAACGGTTCTCCGGATGGATATCGAGGAGATATCTTCACCAAACGCTTCAGTCTATGAACTACAAGCTCCAATCGCCACTGGCTTTTAGTAATTCATTGGACTCGATAAAGGTCCCGTCGAGGTTTTTCTCACTCAGGATGTGTATGCTGCCCGGATTCTTTCTTTTTGGCATTGCGCTCGTGATCCGTCGTTTAGAGCAAAAGTTCACTCTACTCCCCTGATATTTTCAATTCACCACAATAGGTTTTTTCCCGAATTCGTTGTTTTACTTTAGTCAGGTTCTTGCTGACCTTATTAATTTTCACTGTCTATCCCCTCTGCTTCTTCCGACGTTGCTTTTACTGGCCGCCAGCACTAAAAATTCTGGTGAGCGTCTAAAAGTATGCTATAAAAGTGCTGCAGATATTTGTGAACAAAATCACTTTACATATGACTCTAACACCATGTGTTATCTAACCCTTACAACTAAACAACTCATTTTAGTTTTAAACCTAGTTTTTCTTACCTTCAACAGTTGATGATTCCGAACCGGATTCATTTACATCCAAACAGACTTTATGTAAAACATCAGCAATGGGAAGTGATGTCGAGGCCGATTGTGGCGATAGAAGATTTTTAAAATTTGAATCCTCACCGAATAGCAATGAAAATCCCAACTAAAACAGAAAACAAAACCAAATCAAGTATTTCTCAGAACAATAACCCCCTAAACCCCCCAACTACTTACCTTTTCTAATATCGTTTTCAGTGAACACTCAAAATCAATTTGAAATTTTGGCAACAACAACTGGACACTTTCCATTTGCATTTGCTCCGATATTGTGGATAAATTAACCTCTTTCAATTTCTCCTCCAGCTCCCGCAGGCCATCTCGTTTATTGGGTAAAATTAGCAGCATTGAGATTTCATCGTCATGCTCGTACGGCAATTCCACAGCCCGAGCATCCATTTCCTTTAATTCCACAAATTTTACAAACATTTCATTGTCCAACATCATGGGTATCGATTTCACGCAATCACTGCTCACATGGAAATCGTACAGGCCCGAACGATAGGCACTGAAGGGCAGGAACCATTTATTGCGAAAATTTGCAGCCATCAGCAGCAGAGCTTTGCAGTTGTCGGTGGGGCAGTGTAAATTCGTTTGGGATTTTTTCAGCGTTTCTTGCAGGCAATTCTTGAGTAAATCTTCGAGATTTTTTGCATGACAGAGATTTTGCTTCTCCGCCTGTGTGAGAAAATATTTATAGGCAATTTTTTGAAATTCCACATCCAAATCGAACTGTTCGTCGATGAATATTTTCGAACACATTTCCAGTTGAGTGTCGGGAGATGTTTGTGTTATGGCAGCGAGATTGCCGGCAAAATAGCTAGCCATTTTGGCATTGTTGGGAAAACGTTGCAACTGCAGCTTGGCCTTGAGTTTTTCGGCAGTTTTTCCATCGGAACCTAAGTATAAGAGAGCAAGCAAGGCCTCGACAAGGAATGGTGATATTATCAGGTTCGAATTGTCTCCGTCTGCACTATTTTGTTTTATCAGGTTGGTGAATATATCCAAGCCAAAATTGGTTTCAAAATTATTGTTGTTATTCGCGGGATCCATATTGTTTTGTAGAAATACTTTCGGGTAGCTGAAATATAAATAAATTGGATTTATTTGTAGTATAAGTAATGAATATGACAATTTCAATCCGAATCCAGTGGGTTAACCCATTTATATGTAAACGTACTGTAAAATGCTTACTGAAATTGCCCCAACTTAACAATTTCGTAATTAGGAATTCCTAAAAACCGACAAAGAGGAAGAACATAATGAACTTAATTTAAAATCCATCACATTCAAGCATCTTTAAAATTCGAAAACATTCCCCATTTCCAAGCTTGCGTAAGTAGAAATATTAAGTTGTGCCAAGTTTTAAAGTAATTGGATTGTAATTTCGCATTTTATGAGCGCTATGGTTATTCAAAATTTTAACCCTTTGTGGGGAAGTTGCCAGAAGGAGTAGTCCTGGCATCTGACATTGACAAAAATATTAATATTTGCAAATTTTTGCACAAGTTCGAATTCTTTCTTTCTTGCTTACTTTTTGGCATATACACTATGTTTTGTTTTGATATATGCCCTCTTTAGCCATATGGCTTAGGGTATAAACATTAGATACGTGAATCGGCGTTTTGAATATAAATAGAGGAGGTAAGTTCCCTACTATTTAAAACTTTTGGACATTTTCGTGTTGAGATTCCTTTGAATCCGTGAATTTTAGGTGTATAGTATCTTCGGTAATATTGCTGATTAAAATACGAGGAATATATGGTTATAACGCTCAACCGTGTCAACAAGGGGGTCTTTTTGGTTCATTTTTAAAAATATGATTTAAACGGAATTCACATTTTAGGGTTAAAGCCGTAGTTTGTGCGAGTTTCTGCAAAAATCTCCAACAACGCATCATTTTAAAAGGATGACGCCAAAGACAAATATATTTTTCATTAAATTTCACAATAATTTACTAAAGAAAAGAATTCTATATTTTCGTTGAATATTAAAAAAAAATTATTGGAATTCATGCTCCCTCAAAGAAACCACAAAATGTTCCCTATTTTTGACTCCTGAAAGTGACATAAATATTCGTTGTAGACGTAAAATGTAAAAAAAAATAAATTCTCTGCACAAAATGTCACTATAAATCTCAGAATAAACCCTATATCTAGGAACAATATCTATTTTAATAACCCAACACCACTTTGCATATTTAGTAGAGCTACCAATAACAAATACACATTTTATGGGGAATTTATTAGAATTAATTTATACCAACTATATTCGTTTTGAATGCGTATATTGACCTGCAGTTATAATTTACAGCCGTAGGTAACTAATATATGGGAGATATATTCTCATCTGAGTCGATTTATACTTAAGGAACAACTCTAGTACAGTAAAAACTCTTCGATTTTTTCGAAATTTTTTTCCAGAAAATTTCGTGAAATCACACTAAACGTGAAATCGTTCACTTTCATAGTAATCACAATTGCAAATTTTAAGATTCAACAACTGTTGGTTCGTTCGGTTCGATACGGCCAAAACGTGCCTCATCGAAATAACGTTTTTAAACTCTAGGTATCTTTGGACCAAATCCGTTTCAAGACATTTGTAGTCGATCTAACGATGTCCGTCCGTCCTGTGAGTCTATCATATTATTGTCAAACTTAGATCGAGTTTAGAGATGGACAATATCGGTCCACTACTTCTGGTTTCTCTTCCACAAAAGGTCAACATTTTCAAAAAAAATATTCTGCTGCACAGAAAGAGAAACATCAATCCGATTTTGCTCAAACTTTGCATTGGTGCTAAATTAGGTGAGAAAATGGACAATATGGTCAACAATTTTAAGAATTATAACTCTTATAAAATGTGGTATGTGAGTCCTATTGTCTTTAAATTACATACATCATAATATTTTATCAACCCAAGGTCTGGTGTGAAGATGGAATATATCAGTCAACTCCTTCTGGTACCTCCATCACAAAGGTTCAACATTTTGGAAATCCATGAAACTCATAAAATGCGAAATTAACATCCAATTCCATTCAGACGTGCCACATCTCAATATTTCTATCAATACAAGATATGCCATAAATATAGTAGAGGTCCTTCTAGAACCTCCCCCACAAAGGGTCAAAGTTTTGAATAACCAAACGATTATAAAATCCGAAATAAGCACCCGGTTCTCTTCGGATTTCACACATCCCATTATTTATACTAACACAAGATCTGCTATGAAGATGGAATATATAGGTTCACTTCTTCTAGTACCTCCCCTACAAAGGCTCAAAGTTTTGAATATCCATTAAGCTAATAAAACGCGAAATTAACACCCGATTCCATTCCAGGCTTGGTACATCTCAATATTTCCATCAACACAAGATCTGTTAAAAAGATGGTAGAGATCGGACCATTTCTTCTGGTACCTCCCCCGCATAGGGTCAAAATTTTAAAAAAACAAAACGCTCAAAGAAACCGAACTAAGCATCCAACTTTCTTCAAATTTCTCACATTCAAATATTTTTCCTAACACAAGATCTCTTGTCACAATTTTCAATACTATTATTTGTCATAACAAATCGGCGATTTTTTTACAACTTGCTATATCTATATATTTCTCTTAACCAGAAATCTGATATGAATATTAAATTTATCGGAATTTATGATTTCGCATAAAATTGGATATAAATGTTCGATTTTCTTGTAATTTTGCCCATACCAATATTTATACCCTACACCACATAGTGGTAAGGGTATTATGTCTTTGTGCATTTGTTTCTAACAGACGGAAAGAAGCGAGATAGACCCATAGATACTTTTGAGGATCTTCATAGAATCATTTTTTGAGTCGATTTATGCATGTCAGTCCGTCCGTCCGTCAGGCGGCAAATATTATCCGATAAAGATGAAATTTTGCAAATAATGTTTGTTTGGCCCAAGGACGAGCCCTTTTGAAATTGGTGATAATCGGATTAGATTAAGATATAGCTCCCATATATCTTCAACCGATTTCGGGAAAATTGTGTATAAGTCCAAATGACCTATATTTTAATACATCCCGCCGAATTCAGTCTAGAAGCAAGTAAATCAAATTTGGAGAAAATCGGTTTAGATATAGCTATAGCTCTCATATATATGTTTCATCCGATTTGGGGTTTGATACACTTATTACGCATGTGAGGGACTTACATGCGTAATAAGTGTATCAAATTTTGTCAACATCGGTTCAGATTTGGATTAAGCTCCCATATATATCCTCAACCGTTTTCGGGTTAATTGTGCACCAAATGGCCAATATCAGTCCAAATGACCTGAATTTTGGCATTTCCGACCGAATTCAGACCAGAAGCAAGTACATTAATTTCGGAGAAAATCCGTTCAGGTATAGCTATAGCTCCCATATATATATGTTTCATCCGATTTGGTGTTTAAGTCCCTCACATCCATAATATGCATTCGACAACAATGATATTTGGTACCAGATATGATTCTCGGAATTACCTTTACCTAATTTTATTTAAATATGCATAAAGGTGTAGGGTATAATATAGTCGGCCCCGCTCGACTTTTGACTTTTCCTTACTGGTTTTATTTGTCTTAGATGAAGTATGAAAATGGGGTACGGTCGGTGGACTATGTCTGGTAAATCATATCTCATATAAAGTAAAGGAAGTAGTCGATATAGTCCAAATCGAGCCAACTGCTTCGGAACCATCCCAATAAAGGATCAACAGTTTGAATAATCATAACTCAAGGCTGGAGGTATACACCTGTCGGCAAAACCGACTGATACTATTTTACTTGTTTTTCATTCATTGTCATAATAATCATTTCATTTAAATAATACAAAATATCCAGTTTGGCGAAGGACGAAGTGGGTGAGAGACTTTTGAATTTATGTCGATATTCAATTGTTGAACTTAAAATTATTTTTCCGTTTTGTTTAAATGATTTTCTAGGTGAAAACGTTTTCTTATTCACAGTCATATTTATTTTCGTTCGAATGATGATATTTCCCTTCAATTATGACCCACATATTTTTACATCAATTTAATTATTTCCGGCGTTTTTTGCGATTTTCGTTTTTTTTTTTTGGCACAAATGCGCGCATTTCTTCACAATTTAATTGTTCGGAATTGAATTCAAGATTTCAATAATTATTGGTATTTTTCTTCTGCTGATTCTCCGTCTTCTAATACCATCATACATTCAATTAAAAATGTTTCAGTTCTTTTTTAACGAATCAAACGAATAATTCTTTAATGTTTTTTTTTTTAATTCTTTAATTTTTTCGCTTTCACAAGTGTTTATCCATTCCATCCAACCATATACGCGAAAGACCAAAAATCGAAAAATCACCTAAAGCGCACACAAGACACGTTTAAGGACGGACGGAATTTTTGGGAAGCAATGGCGATGATGATGTTGGGAGGATGGATGGCATTCCAAGTGGTTGCTTGCTTGAGTGGATGAATGACTATTCTTCAAAACATACTACATATGTATGTATGGTTGTGGGTAGGTGGTTGTGGGTAGGTGGGCGCGTCACTTTTTCGTCCGTGCCTTGTCGTTGATTTTGTATATTTTTCCAAATAATTACATCACATTAATGAACGTTTAATAACACAAGTTAATGGCGGTTCACTTTGATTTCCAAAAAAAACACAAAAGCACTACACTTTTTGTGATTATTTTGGAAAGAGTTCGAAATTGCATTGCAATAAATATATATATATATTTTTTTTTTTTCAAAATTATTAAATTCATAAAAATCAAAAAAAAAAAAACAATAAATTTAAAATCATTTTGTTATACACATTTTTAATTTTATGTTTTATTTATAAATGGGTCACTCAGTGGAACATTTCGGGATACCTTTATACTAGGAATAGACTAAAATATTTTAAATTTCTTTTCCGCAAAATTTATATCTCCCAACAGACGATTTTATCTCGACAAGCGACTGGCAAAAACTAAATCCATTTCTTGTGTTCTCTTTACAAAAATTTAAAAATTTGCTGAAAACATTTTTTTCTTTTTTTTTTTTGGTGAATATGAATTTGTTTTTGTTTTCCGAAAAAAAAGAGATTCCGCTGCTGCTTTCATTTGCTGTTGATACGTTTTCATCAACAACATTTGTCCGATCGCCAGACAAATGTTTGTGAAAACATAAATTCGCACTTCTATTGCCTCAGCAGCAGCATCTGCTGCAGCTGTTGTGCCCAACGCTTCCGTTGTCGCCTCTCTCTCTCTTCGCGACGACTTTGTTTCGTATTTGTTCATATTTTTATATTGCAGTTTTATTTATTTAGTCATTGGCTGACTGATATTTCTCTCATTATATTATCTTGTGTTTATGAGATATAATCTCGCAGAATGATATGTATGTTGATATGCGCACAGTGTTCAGAAACCATAGGAACTAGAAATAACGGCTAGTATACACATAATGTTAGAGTCATATGTAAAGATAAATTGTCTACCTTTTAAAACGTACTTAAAGGCGCTTCACACAATTTATTTTCTGAAAGGGAGCGATTTATAGGATAGTATATGTCATGGTACAATGATATCAAGGTAGGGCTATGATATTTTTTTTATTTTCTTGGCTTAATATGTCATCTTTATTTGTTTATGTATGTGTTTTCTTTTCAATAACAAAAAAATTGTTCAGAAAATATTCAAATTCAGGTGTTTTCAAAATGTTTATTTCAACGTATGCATCGACAAAATCTAGAGTTTTTGTAGCGAAATAATCCTTTAGAGATATATAGTACATGATTTTTAAAAGAAGTGTTGACCCTTCATTCAGTTATCGCGGTTTTCAATTATTTATTCAAAATAAATGCAACAAGTTGTTTGATTTTTTATTGTTTTGATGCTATATCTGACATTACAAGCCAAACAGGTAGACAGGTAGTCTATACTTGCAATTTTTTCAAAGTTGGCCTACCTTCTCTCCATTGTACCATGGTATATATATACATACTAGCTGAACCCGGTGCGCTTCGCTACCCCTTTTAATTTTATATGAATTCAAAATTTTATTTACGAATATATGTTGGATAAAGAAAAACCAAGCGTGCAGGAAACTGCAATTTTTTTAAGTAGAGTGGCATTTCTATTGCTATTAGTGAATTCGAGATTGCAACATACTTCGCCGTAATAAGCGTATTTCAAATCAATTGTTGTGTTGTTTTTTAGTGTTAGCCTAAGGCGTTGTGGGTCAATGGTTCTTATTAAATTCATATCCCAATCTGATCCGATTTAAATATAATTTTAAAAAAATTACTTTTACACCACACTCCGCCACACCTTTCATATTTCATTGAAATTGGTGCGTCAAATATGTGAAATCGGCCGAGCTATATCCAAATCCTAACTATCCAAATATCCAAAATATCCAAATCTTAACTAATTTCCAATTAATTTATCACATTTATTATTATAACCAAATTCCGCCACACATTCTGAATTTCATTGGAATCGGTCATATATATCGTGTTTGGTGCATAATATGTATGAAATCGGCCGAAATATATATGTTAGCTATATCCAAACTTCAACTGATTTCAATATAATTTGGCAATTTTTGCTGGTGCCAGATTTTGTCTCTCTCGCTTTGGGTGCATCAAATATGTGAAATCGGCTGAGTATATAAATGGGAGCTATAATTAAATCTGAGCGTATTTGAATATAATTTGTCAAATTTATTTTTGTACCAAATTTAGCCACTTATGCCGAATTTCATTGGAATCGGAAATACGTATCGTGTTTTGTGCATCAAATATGTGAAATCGGCGGAAAATATATATGGGAGCTATATCCAAATCTGAACCGATTTTAATATAATTTGACTAATTTATTTTCTAATCAAAATCCCGTTACATATTCCAAATTTCTTTGGAATCGAACATACATATCGTGCATGGTGCATAAAATACATGAAATAGGTCGAAAATATATATGAGAGCTATATCCAAATCTGAACCGATTTTACTATAATTTGACAAATGTATATTCGTTTTAATTTCCCCTACAGATTCCAAATTTCATTGAAATTAGAGATACATAGCGTGTTTGGTGCATCAAATACATGAAATCGGTCGAAAATATATATGGGAGCTATATCCAAATCTGAACCGATTTCAATATAATTTGGGAAATAAATTTTTTTAGATAAAATCTATCACACGTTTCAAATTTCATTGAAATCGGGGATACATAGCGTGTTTGGTGCATCAAATGCTTGAAATTGGCCGAAAATATATATGGGAGCTATATCCAAATCTGAACCGATTTCAATATAATTTGACAAATTTATTTTCGGATTAAATCCCGTCACACATTTCAAATTTCATTGGAATCGAACATTCATATTGTGTTTGAGGCATCAAATGAACGAAATCGGTCGAAAATATATATGGGAGCTATACCCAAATCTGAACCGATTTATAATTTGGCAAACTTGAAATATAATTTGGCAAACTTATTTTTGTTCCTAATTACGTTACGTATTCCAATTTTGGACACTGTATCTTCAACCAATCAATAGATATGTGCATATAAAATCTAAATTTTTGGGAGGTACCTCCGATTCTGATGCTATATCTCCAGTTCCAAGTGGAAATTCAAAAATGTATATAGCCTATGTTACTTTCAGGCGATGTTGCTGTATATATGGAAATTTTCAGGAAAATCTATTCAGCGGTTTTCGAGTCCATAAATTACAAACAAACATACAAACATTTTCCTCTTTTATAGATATAGATACTCATAGTAGAAGTGCGATATAAATATAAATATAATAAATGTATATTATGTAGCATTGCACAATGTATATTTTATAATGTCTAGAGTTTCGTTTTAGTTTAAAAATTAAATTAAAAATCGCTCAAAAGAATGCTAAAAATGTTAATTATAAAATTTCAAAAAATCATAAGCAAACTCCCGCTCCCGCATAAAACAAAAGAGGGACTTGTAAATTTCCACTATTCGATCACTCGCGGGCAAGTTTCGCTACCGAGTGAAAACGAGCAAATCTGTAACTTATTTCTAGAATATTTTTAGCATAATTTTAGGCATCAATTAAACTAAAGACAAGTTAAAGACTATCGGTCGGTTTTGCGACAGATTGATACCCTCAGTCTTTATCCATTTATTCAAATTTATGTTGACCCTCTATAGGAGAGCTACCGATGTAGTATAACAATATTGTCCATTTCGCTTATGACCTTAGTCTGATATAATCATTGCAGGTAACAGCTTTGGATAATACTTTGGATATACTTTAATGCTCAACTTTTTTGTTAAGCCACCAGAAAGAGTGTGTCAACATACTCCATATACACGATTTTTGAAGAAAAACACTGATTTATTTCGCATGTATAAGGTTTATAATTATTCATAATGTTAAAAATGATGAAGGACCCTGCGGGAGCGGGCCCATAAATTTCATATTCCGATCAGATCTCTTGTTGATAAAGATCTGGTAATATTTAAGATTTGAAGAAAATCGTTGACATATTTCGCATGTTATGGGAGTTATAATTATTCAAAAATTGAGCCCTTTGCGCCAGAGGTACCAGAAAGAGAGGTCCGATATATTATATCCCCATAGTAGATCTTGTGTAGTATTAGAATGTTTCATGTTGTTTGTTTATTCAAAATATTGATCCGTTGTGGGGGAGGTATTAGAAGGAAAAGTTCGTTCCATCCGTTCCCCATGCCTGACCTTGTGTTGGTAGAAATATTGGAATGTGCGAAATTTGAAGATAATAGAAATCTTATTTCACATTTTGCAATAGTTATTACTATGCAAAATGTTGACCTGTTGAGGGGGAGATATTAGAAGGAGTGGGCCGATATATCCTATCTTATTCAAAATATTGACCTTTGTGGGTGAGGTACCAGTCGGTATATCCCATTTTCACACCCTATCAATGATTAAAATATTGGGATATGCGACATTTAAAGAAAACCTGATATTTATTTTTATGAGCATTTTAAATATTCCGAATTTTGACCCTTCGTGGGGTAGGTATTCAAAGGAGTGATCCGATATTTCCCATCTTCACAACAGTTCTTATTTTGGTAGAAATATTGGGATGTATAACCGTTTTGGTTATTCAAAATTTTTATCCTCTATGGGGGAGGTTGGAGTGGTCTGCTATACTCCATCATTACACCCGATTTTGTAATTGTAAAAATATTGGTATGTGTAAAATCTGCTTATATTTCGCATTTTATGAGTGTTTTACATATTCCAAATTTCGACCTTTTGTGGGGGTGTACTAGAAGGGGAAGTCCGATTTTGTCCATTCCCGCAATCAATCTTCCGGTAATGCAAATATCAAGTTTGCACAACATTGGATTATCCGTTCTCTTCCTATGCGGTAAATCATTGTCTATGTAAATTTTGACTTTTTGTGTGGGAGGTACCAGGAGTGCACCTCCCTTCGAAAATTATCGTGCGCACCAGCCAGACAGACAGACGGACGGACATCGCTAAATCAACTCCAAATGTCCTGAAACGGATTTGGTCAAAGACACCTAGATTCTAAAACCGTTATTTCGACTAGGCGATAGGCTGAAGATATAGGTAGCCATATGGCTGAAGGTATAGTATTTCTAGGGATATTCAACTTCCAGTCTCTCCTAAAATACGAACATACATGTCATGCTTGTCATCCCGTTTGTAACATTTCGAAATATACATTTTAGACCCCACAATGTATATATATTCTTTATCAGCATAAAATTCTATGTCGACATACCGATGTCCGTACGTCTGTGGAAATCACTCTAACTTCCGAACGAATTGATGTAGGCTGATAAAATTTTACTCAAATGTGTGTTTGATATGCAGGACTTTTGGTATTGAAAATGGGCTATGGGTCCACGTTAAGGTATAGCCCCCAAAAATGGTCCTCCGTATGTTCGGTTCTTTGAGGATTTTAGCGACATTATTCACCAGAATTGTTTCAAATTTGGTATTTAAAGTTCCTACTATGTACTAAAGCCTGTGAAATACAATTATCTATGCAGGTTCAAGTCTTCGCATATCCCTCTATATCAGTACCTCTCTGTATTCGGTATTTTAATGATTTTAGCTACATTATTCACAGGAATAGTTTCAAATTTCGTACTTTCATTTCCATGAACACAAGATCTGTTATAAAGATGGTAGAGATCGCACCATTTCTTCTGGTACCTCCCCCACATAGGGTTCAGGATTTTGAAAAACAAAACGCTTAAAGGAAACGAAATAAGCATCCTGGTAAACATTACCATCGTTCTCCACTAATAAACAAACATTGTTTTTATAATACCAACAATAATAGGATTAAGCCCGACCATTTTGCAACAACAATGTTCAATTTACTTCAAATTTTGCACATACCAATATCTAACGGTATTCGATGAAGTATTAATATGGAATACTTCGGTCTGTTACCTCACGCATATTTCCCCATTTTCCAAATATTTGCACATATCTCATATAAAGTATAGGAAGTAGTCGATATCGTCCAAATCTGGCACGTTGTAATATTTCTATTAGTCTTAGGTCAGATATGAATTGGTCAGTATTGTCCAACTGCTTCGGAGCCTCCCTCCCATAAAGGGTGAACAGTTAGAATAATCATAACTCAAGGCTGGGGGCATACATCTGTCGGCAAAACCGACTGATACTATTTTACTTGTTCCATTTTTATTTCGAATTAATCTATTTGATATTACGAACAAACCAATTACATTTTTTTGTTTTGGCTTTACAATGCATTTTTCGAATTACCAATGGATAAATCATACTACAAATGGAAGGAATCGAATTACCGATGGAGTAATTGAAATGTTATATGAATAAGGAACGAATTCTAAATGGAATTCAACAAATTACAAATAATATACCCGAATTAAAATTGAATAATATTTCCTACCATACATTAATTTCAATTCTTTTATAGTAATTTGTCCGTTGCCATACACTGTGCTAATGTGCCACAAACATAAGTAGATCATCATTTTATTCTCTCCAAGAATTTCTCTCATTCTCATCTCTCACTCACTCTCTTTCTCCTTAAAATTTATATAGTTCATATCTATAAAATCTTTAAAATGTTTACCGGCACTCCAAATCTCTTAACATTAACCCATCTCCCGCCTACAGCTCACACTTCTCAAAAATTGTTGTGGAAAACTATAGCTTCCCGCCATGGCGTCATCTATTTTTGTTTATAATCCCGCCGACTGTGTGAAGTGTTGGAATTGAAATGATGTGGCTGACGGTAGCTATGGCGCTGGCGGCAAGTATCCAAAATGAAAACAAAAATTCGATATAAGTATTTTTTGATGTTCCACGAAGAGGCAGAGCAAAGAAAACAAAAACCGAAACTAATCTAGAGCAATGGGTAAATAATTATTATCTCATGTTATCGTTGTTGCTGTTGTTATTTTTGTTGATTTATGTTTGTGTTTTTTTTGTTTTGCAGTGGCGAATAGTAAGATCATCATCTAATTGATATTAGGCAGATACCAATGAACAAAATTGGGACAGACCTGATGGTGCCCACATACGCCCTGTCTTCATTTGTTTCTGTTGTTTTTTCTGTATTGATTTCGATTACTGTTTTTGCAACAACAATGCGGGGTGACAATTAAAAATAATATTTTTGTTGTTGTCAAAATTAGACAAATGTTTATAATTTTCTTAATAACAAATAATTTACTCTTCTTGTATTTACAGCTGTGTTATTGCTGTTATTGTTGCTGGCTGCTGACAAGTGCATTTTGTTCCGATCTCTGTTGAAACAGATGTCCATTTCAATTATAAGAAAAATTTCGCCATCACCCAGCCCCACCACCGCCCAATTCGCCATAATAATGTTGCAATAATTTCAAACGTCACTAAATAAATTACAACAGCAGCCGGCTGGCCAGCCGGTCATAAAATTCGAAAAGAATGGGTAATCTATCCACCCACCCAACCACCCACTCCACAGCCAGGCATTCTATAGCCACAATTCTCCCTCTATTGTCATCAAAATTAATGAATGAAATTGTACTTTGTCGCAAATTTGAATGGGCGCAAAATTTCCCTTCCGGGAGGACAAGCAAATTGTCGAACAGATTTACAATTACAGTAAATTACAATATAACAGTTACAATTTGAATTGATATATAAACATGTGTCCCGACACACTCATACATACATATACATACATGAATAATTTTGTAATTTTGGGGGATTGAATATTGCAAGCAGCACGTGTTATCATCATAAAGAGGGCGACCTTGAAGCGATATGGGGGCTCAAGAGATGGATATTTACAATTCAGTGGATTTCTATAGCAGGAGGAAAGTACTTCTTTTATAGACCGAAGACCTTTAAAATGTCTTCTATAAGCAGTAAACCTTTCAAAAATCGTCTAAAGGCACAATGTCATTTTTATACCCTCCACCTTGGAAAGGAGGGTATATTAACTTTGTCATTCCGTTTGTAACATCCTTAAATATTCGTCGTAGACCCCATAAAGTATATATATTCATAATCAGCATAAAATTCAAAGTCGATTTAAAGATGTCCGTCTGTCTGTCTGTTGAAATCACGATACAGCCCACATTATTTGACTTAGAGCGCCAAAAATGTAGCAGAGCAATTTGTATTGTATCTAGGATGGTTGGCATTGAAAATGAGATATATCGGTCCACGTTTTCGTATAGTCCCCATATAACGGTACATCCCCAAATTCGGTATTTTCATGATTTATGCCACATTTTTTCAAGGATTTGTCTGAAAATTGGTATTTGTAGGCCATAACGGATCTCAGTTCGTGTGGCGAGACATTGCATGTATAGGTCCACGCTTTGATAGCCCCCATATAGCGGTACCTCCCTATATTTGGCATTTTGATTATTTTTGCCAAGATAGAAAGCTAAAATTTTGCACAGATCTGTCAAGTTCGAAGATGGGCTATATCGGTTCACGATATCGTATAGCCCCCATATAACTCGGTATTTTGATGATTTTAGCCACATTGTCTGAAATTTTACACAAAGGAATTCTTTGTGAGTACTTTACCCCCTGTAAGAGAATTGTCTATATAGGTCTACGATATCGTATATCCCCCATATAACCTCCCGATATTCGATATTTTGATGATTTTAGCCACATTTTTCAACGAAATTGTCTGAAAATTCACACAAGGAGCTCCATGTGGGTACTTTACCGTCTGCAAGAGAATTATCTATATAAGTCCACGATATCGTAAGCCCATAACGGTAACCCCTGAAATTCGGTATTTTGATGATTTTGGCAAATTTTTTTAACGTAATTGTCTGAAAATCCACACAAGAATTTTCCGGTGAGTTCTTTATCGATATCGCATATCCCCCATATAACGGTAACTCCCGATATCCGGTATTTTAATGATTTTAGCCACATTTTTCAACGAAATTGTCCGAATATTCACACAAGGAGTTCCTTAAGGGTACTTTATCATCTGCAAGAGAATTATAGGTTCACGATATCGTAGTCCCATAAAACGGTAACCCCCGAATTTCGGTATTTTGATGAGTTTGGACAATTTTTTTAACGGAATTGTCTGAAAATCCGCACAAGGATTTTCTTGTGACTTCTTTATTCCCATAGGAGAGAATTGTATATATAGGTCCACGATATCGTATAGCCTTTATATAACGGTAACTCCTGATATCCGGTATTTTAATGATTTTAACCACATTTTCAACGGAATTTTCTAAAAATCCACACAAAGGGGTTCCTTCTCAGTACTTTACCTCCTACAAGAGAATTGTCTACATAGGTCCACATTGTAGTACAGCGACCATATAACGGTACCCCCAGATATTTGGAATTTTCATGACTTTTTTGCGACATTATTCAACGGAGTTCTTTCAAATTTCGTATCTGAAGTTCGGAACCGTCCCTGCAGCCTATGACAAAAATGCAGGACCATGTCTTCGTATAGCCCCCATGTGAAGGTTTTCATTTGCGATATAGTTTACGACGGATTTTTTTTTTAATTTTTAAAGCAGCTTCTTTACTTGTTTAAATTCAAAAGTCGGGCGGGGCCGACTGTGTATACATTTAATATAATGTGTGTTATGGTCTTTATGACTTAAGCCACTCTGCGATGATGTTTAGGAAATCCTTACGATCGGTCAGGTTGGACCTATTATCCATCTTGTGAAAAGCTTTATTTTGCAGTAACTGCTTGGGTGGTTAAAGTGGTTAAAACTCCCCTCTCAGGCATGTCATGAATAATCCATATGATGTATAGTGGGTGGTCCAACTTCATAAGAGAGAGCCTGTAAATCAAGAAGCCTATCGGACATGTCTAAGTATTCATACTGATGCAGTAACCTGTGTTATCAACCAATACAGTGTGAATATCGTCCTCAGAGTTCACTGCCATCCATTGCAGCAGAAAAGTGTCGTCTGCGTAGACAAACCAGGATACGCACCAAAGATGTGCAAAAAGAGCAGTTGATTGCTCCTCCTTTCTTTCAATTTTTTCATCTACGAATAACCATTAACGGGTTAACAGCTGGATGAGACAGAATGGATATCTAGTTTTACTACAAACTTGTAATCCAGTAGGAGTGCCTTTATATGGAAAGTTACTCAGAGCCCCAACCACAGATTTGAAAGAAAAGCTAAATGAGTAACTAATTGAACAAGTAGTAGGGGTACAGACGAATTGAGGGCTGGTAATTATTCTATATATCTGAACCGATTTCGATCAAATTTTGCACACTTATTTTCAGGCCTTATTTGGTCGTATGTGCAAAAATTCTATACTATTTAGGCTGATATTACACATTTGGTGCACCATAAAAAGCAAATCGGACGAAGATATATATGGAAGCTATATCTAAATTTTGACCGATTATCTCCAATTTCATTGGGATTCGTCCTTGGGTCAAACAAATGATTTGTGCAAAATATCATCTGGATCGGGAAATAAATGCGACCTGTACTTTGTTTACAAAAATACATGGACAGACGGACGGACGAACGTGCGGACATGCATAAATCGACTCAGAATGTGATTTTATGCAGATCGTCAAAAGGAACTGTGGGCCTATCTCGTTTCCTTTGGCCTCCTACAAACAAATGCACCCTGACCACCTTTTGGTGCAGAGTGTAAAGATTCGTAAATGTCTGGGGTTTATTCCAACCATCCTCTGACAATGATTTAAAAACGTCATTTAAAAAGTTCTAATCGAGAACACAAATTTAAAATTTCATTGTAACAGAAAACACTGCAGCAGGCCGGCCATATGGCGGAATAAATGAATCGTTTCGAAATGTGTACTAAACGATAAGGTCAATATTGTCATAAAAGTTAGATGCTATAGACTAAATTCTCTAGAAATAGCCTAAGTCAAATTGGTAAACAAAATGATGTAAACATTGCGATATGTGGCACAATGTGTTGACGTTAAAAATAAATTTCAGGAGGCTCGTACAAAAATAAGCAGAAATTATTTACCTGCTTAATTTACAAAACAATTTACTCAAAATAAAGAGGAGACGATTTCTTCATCTCGTAAATAAACAAGCAGCTTTTGAAATATAATGTAAACAGATTTTTTTATTAAATAAAATTTTTTAAATTCTTAAATAGAAAATTGGAAAATATGTTATCAGGCTTAACAAATAGACTAACAGAGTTCGGGGAGCATGGCATGCAGAATGTATAAAAAAATTGATTTGATAATACAAATATTTCTATATGACATACATAATGATTGAATGGATGAGCGTTTAATGCTTAAGTATAAAATAAAACAAGGGTTAAAATGCATTTAAAAAAATGGTAATGATGAGTAATTAGAGAGAGGGAAAGAGGAGAGGGTGAGTCCATCTAGGAAAAGACACTTTCCTTGGAAAACTACAAATGTTGTCTGAGTAACACATTCAAAGTCTAAACAAACAAAAGAAGCTCAACTTCCTTTGCCTTTTGTTGTTTTGGGAATTGTTTTAATGTCTCTACCCCTCCCTCCGTTCCCTCCATATTTCAGTACAAGCAAATAATCATATGGTTTTCATTAGAATGTAAAACCACCCTCAGGTGCTTTCGATTGGGCGGCATTGAATTCCAGCGCACCATTAACTTCCTGGGGTGCCAATTCCGATTCAGCACCATCACCATTGCTAAAGTAGGCATCAATGATGGCATAGGCTTTCTTGTAGACTTCTTCATTTTCGTGTTGCTGCAAATTTTCCAATTTATCAAGGCCGCCCATCTCTTCGACCATCAGGCAGAGATTCTCGGTGCCACCCAATTTCTCAGCCAAAGCAAAGAGATTCGATAGACCTGTTAGCACCACCTTAATGGTACGGGGATCCTTGGCGTCAAGTAAATCACAGAATGGTTTTAAAATTTGATATTTCTCAATTAAGTCGATTATCTGTTCGGGTGTGCCACTGGTTGTTGTGTTTGTAACGGCCCAAGCGGCTTCTTTTTGTGACTTGAAATCGCCCTTCTCCAAGACTTTACGTATTTGAGCGAAAATCTCTGTAAAGAAAATAGGAAGACGGAAAAACAATTCACATTAAAAATCAGATTGAAAATCTCAAGCAAAACTAAAATTGTCTTAGTCTACCAAAAACAACCCCCCTCCTCCAGCTCGCTGTCGTCTTTCATTGATAAAGTTCTTTCTACAATTCAAGGAATTTTATGTGTGCCAGGGTAGTGTGTGTGTGGAAATGACAAGTAAATATAAACCTCATACCAAGAATTCCAATTTACACCCAAAATCAGTTAAGACTTGTTTTCTGGTTTGGATAAGAAGAAAAGGCATTTGTGCTTCGAGTAGTCTCTTTGTGTTTTGTAATTATTAAAAGGTATTTTTTCTAAGAGAAAGGATAATATGGAATATAAAATCTAACCAAAAGCAATTCAATGTGGAAACAGAAGCCTTTCAGAGTAAATTCAATTAAGGACTAGATTTTTCATATGTACTGGCTATCTTATAAAAAAAGGAAAAAAAATAGAAGTGAAATGCGGTTAAATTCGGTGGATTAAGCTATTAATTTGCAGCCATTACAAATTGAAAAGCTGCAAAAGCCTTAAAAAATCTCAGGGAAATATTTTTTTTAGAAAAGCAACAGCCCTATTTCATCGTCTATGTGGTAAACAACTCAGGACCTACCCGCCAGCTTAGCAACAACAAATTAGTGTTTTTTCTGATATAAGAACAGTATTGTTCAAAATTCTTTTGATCAAGATAAACCCTATCTTTTTCAGTAGCTACAGGTCTAAATAACATCTGCAAAGTTGAAAAATTATCATTCCTTTTGTACCACTCTGTCAGTGTAGACCCAGTTTCACCCACCAAATGATACTTTGGATTACTTCCGCCATGCTATCGAAACAGATACTGCGACGAAAGCATGCAGTTATGCTGGTCTCATGAGAATGTCCCATGTTGTGGTTTCGCTATTCTAAAAGGTTTCGCTATTTATCCTAAATCGCTTTGTATGAAATCAACAGTGGCTACTGGTCCGCAATCCAAATGGTACTGATTAGCACCGGGAGAACTTTGTTTCAATTTTCCATTTCACGGATTGGTTCTGCTAATCTACTTCTTCCTCTAAATCAAAATTTAAAAAATTGGCTCTCTTAATAGGCTTTATCATGTGGGTGCCTAGCGACAGGCAAGATTCTATCTGAGCCCAACGCTTTGCCATAGCGTTTCGAATGATATTGGCAATATCATCCATCGCAAACTGTGGAAGTACATCCTCGGCGGACAGAGATCTAATATGACGTACTACTATTCGATTCGCCTTATAACTATCTGGGTGCTCGACAAATTGACGGTTAAAAAACCCCAAATCTCTTGGGATCATACGTCGTTAAGCATAATTAAAACCTTTAATCCTTTTTTCAACAAACAGGTATTTATCGAGCTGCTGCAGTTTTGATGATATCTCGGGAAATACTTTCTGCTACGGGAACATTAGAAGGGTTGGGCAGTTCTCTGAAGCGACAGTTGGTGACCTCTCTAAATTCAGGCCAGTGAGCCTTCCCACGGTCAAAGAAAATACGACGTTCAGAAGTTATTAAATGGCGCTATATGTTTATAAAGACGATTAATTGGAGATGTTCTGATCCAAGAGATCCAAATCACGTCATTTGTCAGACCAGAAGCGAAATTCTTGCATTCGATATCGAAAAAATTGGATTCTTGATTGAAATGAACATTTTGTTAGGAGCAACTAAATTTTACATATTAGGTAAGATTACAGGATAGCTGTACATCACTCGGAGACCGTTGGTTCATTGGATGAATTAGTAGTGATAGGAAAGATATAAATCGAGAAAGAAAGAATGAAAGAAGGGACAGGAAAGGAGTAGTAATATCAAGGTTTGCCCAGCCATAATATGCTTTTAGCAAACCACCCCTGTGGGATGATGGGATCTCAGTTTGAGAAAAAAGGTAAATTCTCTACCTCCCTCTTATGTATCGTGCTACATAGCATAGGACATCAGCACCGCGATCATTAGATCAGGTCTAATACATAGAAGGAAGAGGCTCTTTTTCTCGAAATTACACACAAGTGCCACATTCAATGGGAGCCTCGTTCTGACTGATCTCAATCGGGTTAAGCTTCTAGGTCCAGTCTCAAAAAGGGACGCCACCAGTACGGGTTGGGCCTACAACGATACTGAAGTTAGTTGAGTAGGATTGGTTGGGCAGCGAAATAGGCGCAGCGTGTCACTTGGACCTATGCCATAAGCTGGGCAGATGTTCTGCACATCGCTGCCACTTAAGGCCCAATAGGAATTGAGGCGGCTCCACCATCCGGATCTTAATTAAGCCAAAACTACTACTACTAAAAATGGACGAACACGAATATGTATTTGCTGGGTTGACGACCCCTGGTCAAAGGTTTGTTCCTTCGAGTCAATCCCGTACATAGAACCGGCCGATATGAGATTGATCGACTTTTGTAGTCGCTGGTCCTGTTATGCTATTGCAAAGTTCTCTTATTTCGGCTGCCTTCTTCATTATAAGAAACTCCGCCTGTTCCGCCCGCTTCAACTGCCATTAAATTTATAGGAGCGTTTAATGATTAGATTTGGGTAAAAACCTTCTGTGTATAAGGCCAGACCGTCTAGAGGAGTTTCACCACCACACACTAGGTCAAATGACCACTTTTTCTGTGCGAAATTAATTACAACTAAAATATTGTACTATTTCAAAATAAAATGAAGGCAAGCGTTAAAGAAAGTGTAAAATCAGTAAATTAAACAAAAAATACATGATTTAGCATACATAAACCAGACTTTTCCGCCAATTTTTTAAATAGTCCTAGTGATAAATGTAGGTGCTCGAGTGGTTTTAGAATACATTGTGCAATCATTTTTGATTTTTGACATTAGTTATTAACCGATTTTTTCTACCACAACTGCATTTTAAAATACCAGCAGTCATCTCCCCCTCCTCCTTAAAATTAGTCACATAATCACCATCTTGAGTAAGTAATGAGAAAAGTACTATAATTTCAGTTTCTTAATCTACTTTCGCGGCGTAATGCATTATATTGGTCCTTTGTAAAATTATTTTCCAAAAAAAAGCTAATGTCTCATCTGCACAAAATAAAATTGGCTTTGTATTGGTTTCAGCACATATCTTTCTTATTCTTGAGGGCCTAGTTGGGCATGCTAAACTTTCTTTTAGAACGATGTTGCTGCTGCACGTACTAGTAAGTTTGTTTCGTTGTTTATTGAGTTTGAAAGCTCGAATGCTTCTTTTATTTTTCCATATTCACTTTTGTTGCAAAATTGAGCTTTTGGGTGACCAACAACCGAAGAACTGACTTTTGCAGTTTGCTTTTTAATTTCGAAATTAATTTTATCCGTAAGCCAAACACAGTTTTCCAATCTAAATTTGTCAGCATTCTTCCCAATATTTTTCCATATTTTTCGTATTTTGATGTTAAAGATTTGCAGAACAAACGCGTTTTTTCTTTCCAGAATTTCATTGAATCTTCGAAAATATCGTCAGCACCAATTTTGTTCACGACTAAGTTGACAACAGCTTGCTAAGCTTGTCCTTTTGCGAACATTCATGCAGTCAAACTTCAAACAACTCTCATTTTGTTATAGCATGGTAACCTAGAAAAAACGATTTTTCTTGAAAAGCGCTAAAAGGCGCGGTTTATAGTAAAGTAGAATCAATTAACTACATCTTAATTGAATCATTTCTATTTACTTTTTGTCTGCCGAAATTCGCCGAAATTTGTAAACCTTACATGAACTCGTAACTTAAAATCACTCAAACAAATTTGAGGTTATGTAAATAAGTCAGCATTTATTTTTGTAAATAAACGAAATCTACACTTTTTAATACCTGGGACATAAGTACTCACTAATAATTTTGTCTTCCATTTCAAAATTTCCGTCATTTATTTCAACTGGATGAAACACAAGCATTTGAAACTTTAGAAAATAATAGGCTGCGCAAACAGTCTTTCAATAACGTGTTACATGTGTAACTTTGATTGATTGCTGTCAAGCGGTGTTTGACATTTTACAAAAACAAAGTGAAGTTTATGTTATTTTGGACTATTCCCTACATGGTGGCATCAATGATCAGTGTAAAATCGCCCTTACGAAATTCGACTTTCGCACAGAAAAAGTGGTCATTTGACCTAGTGTGCACCAGTCCAAGCTTCTCTTTCCAGTATCGTTACGTCAGTAATATTGAAGACGAAAAAGGTGGGCATGTGCCCACTAATTTTATCGCCTTCACCTAAGTTATTCTCACTTGTAGGTATGTCCAGGATTCGTGTTAAATCCCAGAATATTAGACTAGAATCCCAGTTATTTCTTCCAATGTCAATTCCTTCAAACTTAAATCCGCATACACAAATTAATTTCGATGGAATTTGAATTTATATCGAAAGCGGGAACTGTGACTCTCTCCTCTTATTCGGATGATGAGTTGAGTAATCAATCAATAACGCTGATATTCTCTGACCACAAACCTTTGACCTCCCTCCACTCCACTTTTTGGTGAATTGTTACTGCTTTGATATTTTTCTAGAATGAAAATCCGCTGTTTAATTCTGACTTAAGAGTGTGTTCATGTTATTGTAATTTTCTGGCATACTTTTGAATAAATATGATTCCACACACTCAGTATTCACCTTGTGACTTGTACCAAACTATCTTTCTGTGCATGATTGATGTTTTTCGAATTACGTTTGATTATTATTACTATTATTGTTATTTGAATTACTTTTATTTTTAAGACATAGCATATATAACAAATATTCTACAAAGGGAGAAAGGTTGTAGACATTTTTAAATCCCGTACCTTATTTCACATTTAAAATTTATTTATTTTAAAGTAACTTTATAACCACTAGAAAAACACTGCAACATAAAAAAATCGTTTCGCAAAAAAAAAAACAGAATCCCTGCCTTTTCTTTACGATAAATCCAAACCTCTAATCTTCTCTGCATAGTTTGATATTCTTACAAACCCAAAATGCTAGAATGGCTGCTTTTAAATTGACAGAAAACCGACACCAACCACCACCTAACAAAAATACAGGTGATAGATGGGCATAAAATGCAAAACCACTACTTACCCGCATCAATAACAGCTTGAATTTGTTTTTGATTTCCGGCTGTTATGTTACTGATAGTCCAGGCGGCTTCTTTGACAATGTTATTTTTGGAATGTTGCAATAAAAGACCCAACTTAGGTAAACCGCCAGCAGCAATTACAGCATCAGTCTGCAATAAACAGAAGAGGACGAGAAAAAAAATGAAAACAAGGAAAAAGGAAACGGAATTAAAAAAAGAGAAAATTAAAAGATAAGCATGGCCATAGGAAGACAGAAAAAATATTTATTGGGGATGTCGTCGTCGTTGTAGTTTTTGGTTGGTTTGACAACTAGCAGCAAGCAGCCAAGCATTGCAGAAAAGGAAAAGGCAAACCATTTCCATAAAATTTTCATTTCTATTTACTATTTGAGTTATAAACTTAAGCAACAAGGAAAAAAAAGAACTAAAATGGCAAAAGAAAATTATTTTGCTAGGCTTTTTTGAGGGCTAAGGGAAGGTAAGGGGAACTGCAAGAAAAACATCATCATACCGAAAAACTACCATCAGTTTACCAAGGGTAATAGCAAAACAGTTGAAATAAAAAGTGCCAAGTAATTTAAACAAATTGAAGTGGCTGGGCTCCCTTCTGCTAGGCTTTCTAAATGCTGCATGGACCATAAGGCAGGCAATCATACCGACAGACAGACAGACAGACAGACAGACAGCCAAACAGACCGACCGACCTCAGCTGTAGATTCAGCAAGAAAGGATGACAAAAAAGACATCCTCCTACCAAATGGAATGTTAAACAAGCAAAGAAAGGTAACACAAATGACTGAGCTTTTACACAAAGAATTTCATTAGCATTTGAAAATTTATGCCAAAACCTGTTAAGGTGACAATGAAGAGGCTCGGTTCTGACTCGACTGCTGCCGCTGCTTTTTGGTTGATTGTGCGAAAAGTGTAATATGCAAATAACTTCTATTTCCATCTGGTTGCCACTACTGCTACAACTGCCACCGTGAGGTGATAGTGTGCCTTGAAAATCATCGTTATCACGCCTTTCAACGCATACATTTTGTTATTTCGCATTTCATTTTTATTTCTTGGCCTTCCTTCTTTTTGCATACCACCCAACAGCAGCGGATCGAATTGAATGAATATAAAAGGGAAAAATTCATGACGACAACTGTCATAAGAAGTTTTAAGTAAAAGGTCTGAATGTTGATTTTGAAATTGAATGAAAAATGGGAGGCTGGCTGACTGACTGACTAACTACAGACTGACTGGGCAAGTACATGGCTGATGGAAAGGCCCAAAAATAAACTGTAAAGGAGAATAAAAGATGAAATGTATTTCAAAATTAGAAATGCAATCTTGAGCGGCAATACTTTTATACATTTTTATATAAAATTTAAATTTCATAGTGGGTGATTAATGAGGTCAGGGAATGATATTTGAACCTTAAGGAAACAGATGGTAACAGTTAGACGTTAGTTACCAACCCAGTTCCTATAGACATCAAAGGTAAGTGTATCAGTTACCACAAAGAAACCCCATATACACTACATTATAACTGTGAATCATGAAATGTACATAACTTCCTCATACATAAAAGAAGTAGGGAATGTCCATTCAAGGTTTGTAACGATTGTAGCGTCTCACGGCAGAAATCTGTAAAATAAAATGATACATCTATGCTTACTGACATATCGGGTATCTTTGATGGTCCGCATATTGTAATAATTAGACGGCTCCGAAAGCACTGAAGTTCTATACCAACAAATCTACTCAGGCTATAGATTGCAGATACGATCTGCCAATGCACAAATCCATTATTTTTTGTGTCTTAGACTTCATAATATAATTACAACGGGAATGTGAGTCTCGTAACATAACCATCGAACCCTCGGGAAAATTACCCGATCATGTCGTTTACTCCATTCACCCCATAGGCTTTTGAACTTATGTGAGTCTAGCCTTCTGTATAAATATTAGAATCAACAAACATTGTTGTTGGTATAAAAGACAGAAAAAAACGTTGTCATGCCCTGAGAGTAGACGTTTAGTAGGGAGACATTTGTCCGTTTTTAGCAGGCAATAATGGCCCTGGTACTAGGGACCAACATCAGTTATGGTATTTTATCTTAGGTATTGGCCAGAGGGGATCAGCGTTGACAGATCAGATCGATTGCTCCACATTCTGCATTGACAAGATGACAGATTCCCTTCGGCGAAGTGTCAAACGCTCCTGACGTTCGGGTAGCGAAAGCTTTTTCAATAAAGCAGTGCTGGTTTATCGGTTGGTACAGGTGTATATGAGAGGAAAAAGTGGTAGGAAAAGTATCTGGCGAAAGTCCTAAACCTGTCGTTAGCCACCCACATCGGCCCCGAAACCTGAAAATTAGGCTATTAGGCTTAGGATGCGAGCAACCGTTTCAACCCTACTGGTCCCAGAGTCATAGAGCTGACAATGGAGGTTAACCGGTGGGTAAAGGGCATGAGAGAAAAAATTGTGGCCAGACCATTTGAAGTTTTACAACAATGGAACCGATATGAGAAAGCTGTGAGTAACGGTTAAATTGCTTTCGATCCCTGGGAAAATGACGTTCGGGTAGCGAAAGATTTTTCAATAAAGCTGTGCTGGTTTATAGGTTGGTACAAAAGTATATGAGAGAAAAAATTGGCAGGAGTAAAGTATCTGGCGAAAATCCTCAACCTGATCCTAATCCTGGTGCTAGCCACCCATATCGTTCCCGAAACAAAAAATGGACCGGGTGGTACTGCTAGTAAAATCAGGCAAGTATTTCAGACAGCAAAGAAGAGTCATACAGGCCGATGGTTTCGCTTTTGTCGCCAGTTGCAAAGACTCTTAGGGCTTTACTCCTCCTCATCATCGACGAAGCTATCTAGTTGCCGACCATTAACATGGGTTACCTTGTCAACATAGTATCACAACCACATTGCACACCATATCCACACATATTAGTGGAGGAATAAACAAAAACAAGCCGTGCCATAGAACAGTGCTAGTTATCCTTAATATATCTAGGCATTTGATTCCGTCAACCATGCCACGCTACCTTTCTCAACCTTTTCGGAACACCGCGCCCCTCAGACGGCTTTGTTGTTGATGACAAGTCCGAACAACTGTCTCAACGAAGCATGCCGCCTTTATGTCAACTCCCAAAAATTTTGCCATATGGACTGTTGAAAAGAAGATGCAGCTGAATGTTCAGGATGATGTACATTTAACTTCACAATGTCCTAACTTGCACTATCCGTCAAATAAGCCACAGCTACATGCGATAAATTGAAAAGTAGGAAACTGGTCCTGAAAGCGCTAGCACGGCAGCACTTGGGTTACAGACATAGTGACCCTCTTGTCCTCTTATAACGTGATAGGTCGCGGTCTGTGGTTAGATATGTGTACCAGTGTAGTCCGCAATGTCAGACCTGCCTTTTCATGATATAGGTGGACCAAGGTTCTTCCCTTACGAAGGTTTTTTCGGCAAATCCTGTCATCTCTCATTATATGGTGGGCAGAAACAGGTGTGTCAGGAGGGACTTAGACGATCTAGAGGGGGCTCAAAGAGAGCATTTGGTTTAAGAGAATACATGGATTCACGGACGGACTGACATGCATAAATCGAATTCATAAAATGATCCTCAAAAGTAACTATGGGTCTATCTCGCTTCCTTCTTCATGTTACAAACAAATGCACAAAGACATAATACCATTGCCACTATGTGGTGTATGGTATACAAAAGGAGGAGCTTTCTACTAATCCTGCGACCCAAAACCAAAGCAGTATCACCCTGCTAATACAAAACAGATGCCATCGGAAGACCTGCGAGTGTGCAGCGGTTTTTGACCTTTCTAATCCCAATGGTCTTATCGGAGGGGATCAGTGGCTGCTGAAAGACTGGAAAGTCCGTGTAGTGCACCATGGGGATTAACCTGGCTACAATCTCATCCGTAGCTTGCTTAAACTAATCCTAGCCTGGCCAATCCGCACGTTACTCTGTTTAATCTCATGCGAGAGGAAGATGTATCCAATTGTTATGTCGATCAGCAACTTATGGTCCTTTTGTCTAAAGAACTCGTTGGAATTAGCGTGAGATTACCTCTTTTTGTTATTACTACAGGTTATGGTCTTGGCTCCTTTTAAATTTTTCTGAGATTTTATGCGGAATGGTGGCTTCTGTGTGATTCACGCCTCCTCTAATAAAGTTCAAGGGGATCGTCATGCTCGCTCAAAACGCAGAATATTGGTCTGAGTTAATTAATTAATTTACAAACCAGCTACGGATAATTCTGAAGAGGCCTTTGCTTGGACGATGAGCTTTGATTTGGAAGACAGTAAGCTCGGAGCTTTGTACATAAACATGCATCATTGCAAGACAATTATTGATGAACTCCCGCTAATCTAGGCTTTATAGGCGGCGCCATATTTCAATATAGTCTATGGACTTACAAAAAAATATACAATTTTCGCCACCTTCAATGGAAACAAGATGAGAATTGGAATAGCCTCCCGCTGTTCCCGGATGAGGAATCAAATATGCTAGGTGTACGAAACGGCCTTTCCTGCAACCATCAAAGGAAGCCATTGGCATCTTTAAATAACTCACTCCCACCTTGTTTACCTTACGACGACCGTGTGCAAATAAAATCACTAATTGAAATTTATGTGTCAACCATTTATAATGAAATCTTCATTCGTTACTCGCTCTCTCTCTCAAATAAAATATTTTACAACGGCTATTTGTTTAAACTTTTACACTTGTTAACCCCGCATATTCTTATCCTTGCATATCCTTGCATAAAATATACATACATAATTATTCATTCAAACGATGAAGCTATCTTAACGTAAATGTATGCAAGGCATATTGTTGGAAAGCAGCATGCCAGCCAACCAGCCAATGATGGAAATGAGGTTTTCGCAAAATCTTCCCCCTTTTTTTGCTTTTATTTGGCAAAACAAATACAAACTTTATTTAACTATTGTCCCTTTTTCCTGGTGTTCGTGTGCATTGGCACACTAGCATCGTCATCATAAGGAGGCGAATGAACGGTCGCGTCCCCACCAACAAAAAAAGAAAAAGAAATTGCCTGTAATTTTGCCAAGCCTACAACAAACAATACCCAACCAAAAGAACGTACCATGAACGACGACGACAAA